ATCCACTTGTTGATACCATTTATGGCCATTGTATGGAGTTACATGTGTAAAACGGTCACATGGACGCCGGCATCGGCACGCACCAGTTCAAACTCTGTTAACGTTAATACGGCGTATACACGCACGCAGATTAACAAACTGTGAACACGCTCGTCGACTGAAACTCCTAAAAAGCGATCGTCTAACGTATTTCACTGGGCCAACGAGAAAAAAGTCTGGTCTCACGACCACGAGAACGTAAAAAGTTCGACTTGGTCCATCGCGTGTTAGCTTTGTATTATATTCGAATCGTGTAGCGCTTAGCGCTATAGTGTTCTAATGAACAAGCCACGTGTCCGAAGTCGAGTTTGTATCGTTTCTGTGAAAAATGTACGTTGGCAAAGTTTAGGTGAAAATTCGTTACATTTTCTATCGTTCATCGTATTTTTACTTGGAGATATCGTAGTTCTTTGATAATTGGAATTACTCGAGTAAGAGTTTGGCGCACAGGTTGTAAGCTTTCGATGTACATGTATTTCGTATTTTGTTGGAAACATGGCAATTTTTAAATTGCTACAAACAATTATTCCATTGCTTTCTTGATGCATAATTGAGATAGGTAGGTGAGTGATTCGGTGAAAAAGTGTTAGGTATTTGCCTACAAGTGATCAAATTTGTAATCTGGTCGTGGGATCAAGATAAATTTTAATAGAGAAGGAAAAAGAAAAGAAGAAGAATTTTTAGAGGGGCTAACGGATCAATGTGCATTTTGTGCAATTGTGAAAACCTTAAAGTAAAACGAATATGACGAAGACGTAAAAGAACTCGCAACGTTCAAAATATTGAAGTATAAAGCATCTGGAATATACTTAATCCTTATCAAACTTAGTGTGTTTGTAAATAATCCCTGCTTGCTCTATTGATCTATAAAGCATCTGAAAAACACCTAATCGTTATAAAACTTGCTGTATTTCTAAAAAATCTCTGCTTACTCTATTGATCTATAAAGCATTTAGAACATACTTAATCGTTATCAAACTTAGCGTGTTTGTAAATAATCCCTGCTTGCTCTATTGATCTATAAAGCATCTAAAAACACCTAATCGTTATAAAACTTGGTGTGTTTGTAAAAAATCTCTGCTTACTCTATTAATCTATAAAGCATTTAGAACATATTTAATCGTTGTCAAACTTAGTGTGTTTGTAAATAATCCCTGCTTGCTCTATTGATCTATAAAGCATCTAAAAACACCTAAAAACAAATGGTTATCAAACTTGCTGTATTTCTAAAAAATCTCTGCTTACTCTATTAATCTATAAAGCATTTAGAACATACTTAATCGTTATCAAACTTAATGTGTTTGTAAATAATCCCTGCTCGCTCTATTGATCTATAAAGCATCTGAAAAACACCTAGTCGTTATAAAACTTGGTATATTTCTAAAAAATCTCTGCTTACTCCATTAATCTGTTATAAAGCATTTAGAACATATTTAATCGTTATCACACTTAGTGTGTTTGTAAATAATCCCTGCCTGCTCTATTGATCTATAAAGCATCTAAAAACACCTAATCGTTATAAAACTTGGTGTGTTTGTAAAAAATCTCTGCTTACTCTATTAATCTATAAAGCATTTAGAACATATTTAATCGTTGTCAAACTTAGTGTGTTTGTAAATAATCCCTGCTTGCTCTATTGATCTATAAAGCATCTGAAAAACACCTAGTCGTTATAAAACTTGGTATATTTCTAAAAAATCTCTGCTTACTCCATTAATCTGTTATAAAGCATTTAGAACATATTTACTCGTTATCAAACTTGGTGTGTTTGTAAATAATCCCTGCTCGCTCTATTGATCTATAAAGCATCTGAAAAACACCTAGTCGTTATAAAACTTGGTATATTTCTAAAAAATCTCTGCTTACTCCATTAATCTGTTATAAAGCATTTAGAACATATTTACTCGTTATCAAACTTGGTGTGTTTGTAAATAATCCCTGCTCGCTCTATTGATCTATAAAGCATCTGAAAAACACCTAGTCGTTATAAAACTTGGTATATTTCTAAAAAATCTCTGCTTACTCCATTAATCTGTTATAAAGCATTTAGAACATATTTACTCGTTATCAAACTTGGTGTGTTTGTAAATAATCCCTGCTCGCTCTATTGATCTATAAAGCATCTGAAAAACACCTAGTCGTTATAAAACTTGGTATATTTCTAAAAAATCTCTGCTTACTCCATTAATCTGTTATAAAGCATTTAGAACATACTTAATCGTTATAAAACTTGCTGTATTTCTAAAAAATCTCTGCTTGATCTACCAATCTATAAAACACCTAATCTTTATAAAACGATGTATTTCTAAATAATCCCTGCTTACTCTATTAATCTAGAAAGCATGTAAAAAAACACCTAATCGTTATAAAGCTCGGTGTGTTTCTAAAAAATGTCTGCTTGGTCTATTAATCATTGCCGCTAATAAATTGGTAGAGAAGTTGATACGCTGGAGAATGAACGAATTGAACGAGGAACGCGTAAATCGAACTGTTTAGAACGATTTATCAGCGTGGCGATAAAGAAAGAAGGAGAAGCGTCCGGATAATTTTCATAGATTCGACCGGCGTGCAGATTTCTATCTTGAAGCTGCGGCCGCAATAACACGTCGGCTAAGTTCGGTCATACCGCGGCAGATAAGGGGTGGGAGTTAAGAAAGGAGCATTACTTTCGTAGTAAACACACAAATATTTCTGGAAACAATGGCAAGAGCACCGTCGTGATTCTGATCGTTCGGGATTCTTCAGCGGAACCGAGCCAGCCACGGATAGAAATGTTTTGCAGCTTCGAACTTATCTCTCTGCTTTTACCCCCCGGCGCTTCTCAGACGACCGACACAGCGTCTGTGCGTCGTTCGACAACGTTTTGGCACTAGTTGTCACGACCGGCAATTTCTCAGGAAATTTGCTTATCGCCATGTTCTTGAAATTTCGCCGTCTTTATTCTGATTTACGAGCCGTTCGTACGGGCCAAAGTGATTGTAACTCCACTTTCCGAAATTTTTGGATATTTTGGGAATTTTAGTCGGCGAAACGCTCGATCGATCCTTATTTTATATAATTTCATCGATTACATCTGCTGTTTGTTTCGTCGAGTCAAACTGTTTGGCAAATAAGCGGCGCTTACATCAGATATATATCTTCAATGATCGGAAACACGCTAACAAAGTATCGAAGCGAGAATCGATGAATTGTCGCAGTTATCTTGCAATAAGTCTCGAAATATTGCCAAGGATAACTCAAGTTCGTCCGATCGGAAGATAGACGGCCGCGATGAATATTCTTTTTTTCTCGAAAACGATCGATGTCTGTTTATCCGAAATCGATACGATACGAATCGTAAAAAGATACGATAAAAGCAAATCGATGTACAACTATTTCGCGCTGCTCGTGATCGCACGATTAAATTAAATTCTCGATTAAACTTCCATCCAGCATCTTTTTATTTTTTTCGTCGGGGAAACTTCAAGTTCTCCGTGTTTTCTATCTTTCGAGCAAAATTATATTATTCGGCTGAATATCTTGCGTCGAAGGAGAAAAAAATGGCAGAATAGTAAACGTAATTTGTTATTTATTTAGAGATACGAAACTGTATCCAGTGTGTGAAATCGAAGACGTTGGAGGCAGCGCCGACGATTCGCCGCACGATATTCAGACAGACGATATCATTCGCGTTCGGGGAGCAGCGTGCACTCGCGGCATCTAGATTCCGATGAACAGGCGAGCCGCGATGGTGTATTGATCTTTTTAGTGGCGTACCGTCTCCACAGACGCAATCCAACTGCCGGTGCAGACTAAAGGTCTACATTTCCCCGGAGACGGATACGTTTCGCTATTCCTATAACACGCAATTTGACCGGGGAATATTGCGTTCGCGAATACACACGCTCGATGTATGTAGAGCTACTTACGACGACCATCGACAGAGATAGACGAGCAACGCCAGGAAGACCCGTGTACACCGATAAAACACGCGACCCGAGTCTGTGTTCTTGTAATCGGCCGCGAGAGCCCCGATCTGGACCAATTTAACGCGCACACGCGCACCACCGTCTTCACATATACTGCTCATTACACGTACACATTGGCCGAAGCACGACAGAAACGCGTAACCATATAGCGATATTCCAGTAGCAATCTCGAAATCGTAAAAAGTTAGCAAATTCGTCGAATATCGTACGACACGCGAATTATATCGGAGAAATAAAGAAATTGGTATTAGAATTGGATAAAGGTACGAAAGGAGAATCGAGGATAGAGAGGTAAATAAAAGCAAAGCGAGCGAACAATCATACGGATCGCGTAGGTGATATTTTTGAGGGATCTGTACGTAGAAAGGATGAGCGGCCGTCGGACGACGTCGCTTTCAGCTAGCGCCACTCCGTCTAGCCCGACGTCTACGCTCTGTCAACTTTGTTTTATATTTAATCCGGGCCGCTTTAGCAAACAGTAAACAAACACTGTATCGCATAAGCGCCGCTCGAATTAGCCTCGATACCATTTCAAACGGCCGACTCGCATTTATGAAGATGACCGGGGATGCTGGCCCACCCGAGAGAATTTCACGTACTTACTTGCATATATACGTAGAAAGCCAGTGAACGGAACGTGAACGGCGCG